TCCTAGGATCTGTGGGTTTGTGGCACATATATGTCATATATTATATATTATACTCATATAGATTTAGTTACATGCACACTTTCTATATGTACATGTGGTTTTCCTCATGAATATCAGTCTGAGGAATTCTATATGACCTTTAAGTTCAAACTTCATTTAAGCTTTAGAACAGAACAGCTCAACCTGGTCATCACAGCTCCTACGGCTTGTAGAGAGCACATTTTTTCTAATGGCTTCTGAGTTTTTCACTTTGCTTTTATTTGGTTTTAGATTCATCACCTTGCCTTTCACATACAGTTCCAAATAAACCAGTCACCAGAAATAATGTCGTTAGGATCAGATGAACATATGGAAATGGAGATTGCTCTCAGTGTGGTGACACAGCTTTCTGAGTTCTTTGTCACTTTCTCTTCCACAGGCCTGGTGTGTGTAGCAGCAGGGGTTACAGGCTAGAATCCTGGGCAGCCTTCACACTCGTTTAGCCTACTGTTGCAGAAAAATAATTTGTGTTGCTGTCCTAGCTGTTGTGATTCTAAGCCTGTTTTTTACCAAGTCTTTCAGTCAAGCAGAGCATTGTGAACCACACGGGGTACATTGTGAAGAAAGGGAGCTGGATAGGTCTCTGACAGTCACTTACCTTCATTTGTACTTTAGTAAGGACCTCCCATCACTCCTTTGGGGTCACGGACTTTTCGTTGTTTTCTTTTTATAAAAATATCTGATTTATCTCATACTGTGTATTCAATAAGTTAATTTATAAAAATGCTCAGTAAGCTTTGTCAGTAATGGTTCATCAACTATTGTGATGTTTTTATGAATTGATTCTGTTCTTTGTGATAGATAGCATCTTACTATGCAGTCTATGTTGGTTTCAAATCACGATCTCCTAGCCTTAGCCTTCTGAATCCCAGGATGGGATTCCAGACTTGCATCACCAGGCTGGGTCCTTCTCTATGTACTCCCTTCATCAACAGGCGTTGGAGTGCTTCGTTTGTATTTAACACTCTGGTAGGTACAAGGGAGATAAATAGCATCCTTTCTGATGGAAAGGCCTTGACATTTGTGAGCACGATCCTCAGAGGTGCTTTACAGCATGGTGCAGATGACAGAGCTGCCTTACAAAGAGATAGATTTCATGGGATAGGACTCTGAATGATTAGGTCTCCTAAAGTGCATCGTTTAGAGACATAGGAAGTGGCTCCCATTTGTTGGAAGTTTTGTTCCTAGTTAGGGAGCTAGGGGGAGGTCTCTGTTCATGCCTTTTCTTTTGAGTAGACGGTTCAGTTTGCTTTCTGAAAAAAGATTTGACAACTGCCTAGGAAAACTGAGATGGCGAGGAAGTTAAGCAGCATGTCTGCACAGGGATATACTGTGCTACACATTAAGCCATGTTCAGCATATTTTAAGAGAAATAAGGTTTGCCTTTCATTATTGGAAAAATGAACATGTTTCTCTGTGCTGCCACTGAGCCAAATAATGTAGCTTTATCAGCAATATGCATACAGTTGAATGAGCTACTCTGCCTGTTAGTCACTGCTTGAAAGTCTGAGATGTTCTAAAATGGCTACCTCCCGGGAACAGACACCCATTCAGCCGTGGAGCTCTGTCAGTGTTCTGACATCCCATAGTTCCTTGACCTTGGTGAAAAGCAGAGTCGGTCGTCTCTGCTTCCTTTATAGCATGTCTGATGATGTGGCTTGTGTCTGAATGTAATTCCTGACTCTCGCGGAGGATAGGGGTCCAAAGGCTCTTGACATCCAGTCACCAGGAGCCTTCTGCTGAGCTCTGCAGGACGAGCCATGTGCTGTAAGTCTGCTTGGAAAATAAGTGAGAAGTGTCCATGAGGAATTAAAACCCAAACAGTTCAGAGACCACCCTGAAGCTTTCGGGAGGACTTTAGTCCCAGTGTAAGGATGTGAAGCAAGAAGCAAATCTGTGTCAAGGGCAGATGGACATAGGTTCCTGCTGTGTTTGTCACTGGGAAACATTACTGCACCCAATGGCAACTTCAGGGCGATTACAGTGTTACTACCTGACACTGTGCTTTTCCAGAGTGGAGAAGTCTTCTTGACAGTATGCAAGGCTTGACTTGATAGAAACAGTATTCCTGGTTTCCATGTTTGAAGCAGAGTAGGGAACGGGTGAAATGATGCTTCTCCTTTCTTTACAACAGGTTAATATTTAACAGCTAGAGACAGTTAAGTGTGTTCATGTAGGGAAGTCACACATTTTGTGTGAGAATTATTGGTGATTAATTTATTTAAATAGAAGAATCTAGAAAGCCAGTTGCAGACACATACCAAATAAGCTACGTTTCTCAGCAGTCTGCTACATCTGAGTGGGGGTCTGGCACCTTTTCTCTTTGTCTACATGTTGACCCTTTTGGGGATGAATGTTCTGTCCAAGGGATATAGCTTTTCTCTTTTTTATTGTTTTTAAGGCAATAATGTCCCTGTAAAGCACAATGGATTTTCAAGGAGCCAGAGTTATCATTATGAACCACTTTGATATGCAAACAATGCATTGTGACATATTTAGCATTTTTTTGTAAACGGTAAGGACAGGGAAGGAATTGTTGTAAAGATGAACCACTGCAAGTGAATGACCTGTTCTTGGCCTTACGCTGCTCAGATCCAAGGACAAGAGCTCATGGGAAACCTATCTAACAAGTGTGGTTAAACCCACATGGCCTGATGCATGATTCCAAATGCAGCTTTTCAGTTTGTTACTTCTTTGTGTATAATAGCTTTGTTCTATTAAGGGCTATTTTTTTGTGTGTAACAAAGGGTGAACTCTGTGCCTCCAGCATGCTAAGTATGCACTTTATCACCAAGGTATGCCTTCTGTCCGTGTGTTTTATATTTTCACAAATTTTCTAGGGCCGTCTGAAATGAATGAGTACTTGGCATTGTAAATTACCCTTTAAAAATGTCTAATGTGATAATATCATTGACAGTAAATTGTAAAATTATTATTAAGTCTCTAGCATTTAACTTGGATATTTACTTTAAAAAAATCATGGGCTCATATGTTACCTTCCCAGGTAGATTTTAACTGAAGCCTAGTATTGTTCAGAACTGTATAACTTGGATGTCTACTCTGGTTTGGGGTACAAAGTAGGTGCTTGACATATACTCATTTCGTTTACCAAGACAAGGGCCTATAACTTTTTCCTAGTCCCCAGTTCCCCCTTCTCTATAAAAGGAGGTACTTTGAGATAATTGAGGACTATTAATTCTCATTAAAGTGCTAGAGTATTTATAACAATAACTCACTGTTCTAGTAAGCATTCACTTTTATTATTTGTCTCTGTAAAGTATTATTTACCTGGAACTAGAAACCCTGGATTCTGCCAATAGTCTAAGAACTTGTGTTTAGGAAGAATGTAATAGCGGACATACTTAAGGGATTGCCAGCCTGGTGTTCTCTTAGCTCTTAAGCAATCCACAGCTCTCTGAAATGTCTTTTTTCTTTTTTCTCTCCCCTTCTCTTTGGCTGCTGCTCCAGATCCCTTATTTTGCAAGAGTCTCTGGTATCCACGACTTTGAGTCTGACAGAGAGTCAGTCGGCCTTGAGTGTGAAGCAAGAGTGGTCTCAGAGCTACAGGGCTTTTCCTTCACTTTCATCCAACCACGGCTCTCAGAATGGCATGGACCTAGGGGACCTCCTGAGCTTGCCTCCTGGCACGCCAGGGTCCAGCAACAGCGTCTCTAACTCGTTGCCACCTTACCTTTTTGGCATGGAAAATAGCCACTCTCCTTACCCTAGTCCTCGACACTCAGCCACCAGGTCCCACTCTTCCCGCTCCAAGAAGAGAGGGCTGTCCTTGTCCCCTCTGTCTGATGGCATCGGGATTGACTTCAACACTATTATCCGCACTTCGCCCACATCCTTGGTTGCCTACATCAACGGATCAAGAGCCTCCCCTGCCAACGTGTCCCCACAGTCGGAGGTCTACGGGCATTTCCTGGGTGTTCGCGGCTGCTGCATCCCCCAGTCTTGTGCAGTGTCCAGTGGGCAGAAAGGCGTGCTGCTGGCCAGTGGAGGACAGGCACTGCCAGGCTACGTCGAGGATGGTACACTGGAGTACGAGCGCATGCAGCAGCTGGAGCATGGTGGCCTGCAGTCTGGACCTGTAAACAACATGGTGCTGCAACCGGACCTAACGGGCCAGGATGGCCAGTCAGCCAACATGCTCAAGACGGAGCGCCTGGAGGAGTTCCCAAGCAGTGCCTTGGACCTGCCCTCCGCGCCACCTCTCCCTCCTCTTCCCCCGCCTCAGGGCCCCCCACCCCCATACCATGCCCACCCGCACCTCCATCACCCAGAGCTCCTGCCTCACACACAGCCACTGGCCCTGGCCCAGGCTGGCCTGGATGAGGATGGGGAGATGGAGGACTCTGGGGGCAAGCACTGCTGTCGTTGGATAGACTGCAGTGCCCTATATGACCAGCAGGAGGAACTGGTGAGACACATCGAGAAGGTCCACATAGACCAGAGCAAGGGGGAAGACTTCACCTGCTTCTGGACTGGCTGCCCTAGAAGGTACAAGCCCTTCAACACCCGCTATAAATTGCTGATCCACATGAGGGTCCACTCGGGGGGAGAAGCCCAACAAGTGTACGGTGAGTGATTTGGACTTTCTAAAGCACTGCGCCACCTTTCTTGAAGGCCCAACTTTATTTCATGCATGCATTTCATCAAACACAGGAGACTGTTTCTACTGTTGTGGAATTTGGATGTGTGGTGGTGAAAGCACCCGCACGGTGGCTTGCCTTTTCAGCTAGCTGGCACCAGGGGAAGGTTTCTTTGATAACTGGTCGTCGCTGGTTTCTCTGACTTCTAGCTCAAGCCCCATGCCACCATGGTAGTGGGGGCCAGTACACCTTACTGTAGTCTGGGAAAATGTGGGTGAGACACAGACTCAGTGTTCTCTTGACTGTGTGGATATTCCAGGGCAGGGGACCATGTGCTATGCCACAAGCAAGATTTTGCGCTTTTCCAAAGAACAGACTCAGGGTTGGTTTTTTTTTTTAACCTCTAAAAATTTAGGTGAGATTTGGGGTTCAGGAATGATTTTGACATTTAAGAAAGGAATTCACTTAAGAACTTGACTACTGAAATTGTTGCAGCATACACATTCATACCAGCACACGGTACCTTTCAGAATTGTGAAACTCATTAATGATTTACAGCAAGGAAACACCAGAGGCTACCATGGGAACAGGGTCTCACGGGATCTCACTTAATTTTGAGCAAAGAGGATTTTGTGGAGGGACACAAGGACAGTGGGCTGAGAAGGCTGTGTTGTGTGCCTTGGTGTTGAAGCACACGGGTCTTCTGTCCGTCCTGCCTCTCTTTTTCTCAACACGGATCCTGGAACTCTTGTTCTGTTGCTTGGCAAGATTGACTGTTTTTGAATACTATGATTCCTAAATGCTTTCACAACAATTTCACACCTCACAGAAACCCTTAGGGCTTATAAGCAGGACTTCACCCCCGGGATCACAGAGATAGCTTTGCACAATCTGAGATGGCACACTGAACTCTGCAAAAAAGAGGAACATATGTTTTCTGTTAGTCTAGATGGACAGGAATAGTTCTTCCGAGATGGAACTGAGAATTCTGTGTAGTCCCTTAATATTGAGATTTCTAGAGATCAGTGATTGAGTGAAGACTACAAACCAGTTGGAAAAGGAACTTGTTTTAACGGTGACCTTCCAACCAGAATCATCCCTTTCTGAATATGATATATAGTGTCTGGACTGTGTTTATCTTTGACTGTTGATTGGCCAGACTGTGATTCATGCAAAAGCATACCATACAGGTGATAGAAGGAATGCAAGAATTAGAAGCACTTTTCACCACGCCATAGGTATTTTTGAAAGAGCTTTAAGGCTTTCTGGTGGAATGAAATTGCATTTGTTGTCATTACATTATACCCCATGTTGTGATTTTTCTTAAGGAAAACCTGAAGCTGATGCATTGTGAGCATGCCAGGTTCCATGAGTGAAAAGAATAATTACATTCCAAGAGGCCAAACCATACTCAGTCAGTAGGGTTCTGTGTTAAAAATGCCAGAATGAGACAAGCGATTGAAGGCAATTCCATTTACTCTGTTTGGAACACAGGAGCCTGTTGCAAACAGGAAAGACATCCAGTCTCCAAAGGAAAACAGTCTAGCCTTTTAGTTCTGACTAATCCTGGCTGAAAATAATTTACTGGATTGGGTTTTACTGAAATAAACATTAAAGTTTGAATTATCAAAAAATACTTTTTTGCATTGCAACATTAATTTTTATAAAGTAAAAGGATTTCCCCATTTTCGCCTGTGGCCCCAGAGTTTTCAGAGTCATACAACTTTGCAGAGTTGGCTTTTGCTAAAGTGCATGATGGATATTAAAAATAGAAAAAGTAAGAATAGCTGAGAGGTGAGTGTATGCAGACTTGCACTGCTGTTCACTGTGCCATTCAGGATGGGCAGATGAGGTAATTCTGTTCTCCTAATCTGCCCTCTCCTCATTAGTAGGTGGAAACTTTGCAAAACTCACACTGCTAATCCGTTAGTGTAGCAAAACCAGAATCACAGGCCACTTGCATGCTGTGGTGCAAATGAAGTTAAAGAAAAGTTTCTTAGGAGCAACTGATGCTGTAGCTTCACTGTGGGGAGGGTATGTTTTTAACAGGAAGACAGCCATTGTCGTATGAGCTTACACACCATGTACCTTCTGTCTTCTGTTATGTTGCTACATGCCGTGTGCTTGATATGTGGGCCTGCAAACAACATGGCTAGAGCCATGGCAGGTAAAATGACCATGTTCTTTGGGAGAGGTGCTCTTCAGGTTGTGGTGGTGGCTGCTGAGCCTAGGAGTAGTTTAAATTCTAAGGCCCAGTCCACTTTAATGTATGTCTGACTTCTATTACTCTTCTGTATATGAACATTGGACATTGTCATCATTCTCACTTGCTGGGATTATTGAACCATGAAAGGGAATGGTGACCCCATGTGTTTGGTGACCATGACTACAAGCAACACACACACATAACTTCTGGATGTTATGGTAAAAGGAGTGTGTGTCGGGACTGAGGCCTGCTTTACAGTAAGAGGCTGAGGTGCCGTCCTCACATGCCTAGTCCCCTTTGCTCCATGGGAGAATGCATCCTGCCAATCATTTCTCATTGTGACTCGGCAGACAAACCGGAACATGGGGTGCAGATCACTCAGGATTCTTGGTGGCACAGCCAGGGGAAAATGCAGACTTCATTGTTTGGTTCTGTTTCTAGAAGAAGAGGATGGGTTCCTTTCTCATCTAAGCAGCCCTACCTTTCACCAGATTACATGCTGACAGGCTCTATGGAGTCTGTCCTTGCAGTTGGGGTTGTATGGCAGAAACAATTTCAAACAGTGGCAAAGTTTTGAAAAGCAAAGGCCTCAGTAGGCAGATTTCTTATGAATCAGAAACAAGATGTGGCAAAGTTTTAAAGTGCCCAAGTCCTTCCACTAATGTGTTTTAACTAAAGCAGTTTCTAGGTGCCCACCATTCTCTTAGGCCTTGCTTTTAGATCAACTCTGTCTTTGGCGAATCTTGAATTGCTGACTGTTGAGCATTCCTGAGTCTTTCTGAGATGATGAGGTGCCTGATTTTCAATTCAGAACAAGTCTTAGAGACATGGAATTTGTCTCTTTTTGTTTTCTTTTCCCCAGACATTTCAGCGTTGCTAAGAGGATATCATAAAGTGTATTAAATCATAAAAGTATACAACCATTCCTTAAGGCTCCCATAGTGGTGGTTCTAAAAGAATGTGGCACATGCTTTGACTCTATGGAGATCTCTTTGCCTTTCAGCTGAGGGATGGACAGTGCCTATGAGTGTTTCCTGGGAGGTTTTGAAGTGCCTTCTGAATGACATGAGAAGCTTGGTCCATGAGTGTTTATGCTGAGAAACAGCCTGTCCCAAGATCAGGGCCCAGGGTTCTGTTTAGGATCAGAACCACCTGGCCCATTTTCCTGCACAATTGAAAGCATTTGTGCCGGGAGGTTAAGGAGTGTTCAGAAGGGAATTAGGGGCGATGTGGGTTGCCACTTACACTTTGCTTATTTTTCCTGGATGAATTTAATCCAATAGCAAAAAAGAGTTTTGCAAAACTTTTACCCACCCACAAATTTTCATGAAAATGTCACTGACCAAAGACAGTTTTGAATTTTGTATGAATTGACTCATTTCTCCACAGGCATTTTCCCTGGCAAAACCCAGTGTATTTGCTTTGGCTTGGATATTGGGCAGTTTGCTTTTTAAGTAACATTGGATTATGAGCACAAGAAAATAAATAGAGAACTGGAACCATGTCCCCATTCCTCTCTTATGGCCTGATGTATGGGTCATGGGCCAGCTTTGACCATGCGAGACATTTTTTGAGGAAAAGTAAATCTGTTATACTCTTCCTCCCACAACCTCTCTTTTGTTATTTTTGATAACATTTGACAACGATGTGATTATAACAATTATATGACCAGAAGGGACTTTAGGAAAATATTATTTAACTATAATTATTAGTTAGCACACCAGAATCTTTATGTTGGCAGCAATGTGTAAATTTTCATAGTACCAGGTATTGATAAGGGTGTGGAGAGTGAGATGTATGTATGTGTGTTACTTTTTCTAGAAAAAGCAAATTGGTATAAACACCTTGGAGAACAGTTTGGAAGTACATAATAAGGATGAAATGTGCATATCCAACAAAACAATGCCTAGGTGTCTCTCCTGAAGACTCCTCCACATGGCATCATGGAAACATGAAATGACACACACATTACATTTGTGGGGTTTTTAATATATAAAAGTATAATTAACTTGACTGTCCACAGACAAGGCAAACCAGTTGACTATGGTTTATTCCTATGAAATACTATGAAAGAGTTGAACATTAGTGAAATACACTCCACATGATAAATCTCACAAAATAAAGTTGAGTATCATGGTATGTGCAAAATGCAGTATAATGCAATTTGTGTGCATTGAAGCCCGCAGAAGAATCATAAGGATCTGCAGATACACAATTATGTGGTTAAACAAATCCTATGGGCAGAGTAACCAGTAATCTGGGGTAGTGGATATTTCTAGAGGGGAAAGAAATATGAAGAAATAGGATGTGGGGGTTTTGCTTCTTGTCTTTCTGAGACAGGGAATTAAAGTATGGAAAAGCTCTCACTTCTGTCTGGCTTGGTGGCAGTGGTACAGGTGTTGCAGGGGTTTGTTACAAACCCTTTCATATCTACTCGAGATGTTCTACATCTTTGTATTTTTATCTTAATACAGTAGGAAATCGATTAGTATACACTTTAACTTCCTTCTACACATATCAGTTTTCAGTTGAGAACAAAGCTGAGGAAAATTGATTTTTCCAAGGTTAGTGTTTGGCTGCTCCCTGTTTAGGGCCTCCTGGGCTTTTTGCTACCTTTCCTGACATTGGACTCAATTGGAGTGCTTTCCAGAGCCCTGGTCCTGGTCTGCACTGGAGCATCTGGATGTGATGGGTCGGGGTGAAGTCCCCGTAGGTGGTTCTAATGGGTATCCATGCCTGAGACCCAGGCTCTTCAAGTTTCTAAGTTCTGACCTTGAGCTCTAGATACATAAAAAAACCAACATGCCGCTGAGTTCAAGCGTGGAGAGGCTGTGTTAGGATCCAGGATATTCTCATTTTCATTGTTATCTGATAATGACCATGGTAGGCTCATCTTTCTTAGAAAGAAAACCACAGAGAAGGAGTGGAGAGACCCAGGCAGTAGCAGCAAATGCGTGTCCATCTTATATGCTCAGGGTTACTGTTCTGAACTAGTACTTAAATATTGACATGGGACTTGTCTTTAGCTGTAGGGACAACATTGCTATCTCCTTGGCCACTTGAGTTAACAGTGACATTGAGAAAGCAATCATATAGTTTCCATTTTTAAAGAAAAGAGAGAGTTGGTCCTGTCCAAATACAGACTCTCCTTGCAAAAATAAAACAAAACACCCAAATCTATCTTCAAAACATTGCTGAAGAGTTGGTATGTTAAAAAAGACAGAATTTTCCCTTTTTATAAAATCTTCTTGATACGATTAAATAAATAAAATTAACATTAATATCCTCTTTGTCTCTTGAGGCTGAAATACCACCAGTAAAACATCTGGTAAAGATCAGAGAGACTGCAACTTCCAAGTCATATCCCACAAGGCTTCAGTCTGTCAAATATTAGATGCAAACCCAATGATTTTAAACAGTGAAATCCAATCTCAAGACTTTTTCCAGTCATTTTTACATGAGAGGTCTACAAGCAGATTTATCTATGTAGATACACGTTCAACATACTGTATATATATATATATATGTATATATATATATGGCACCACAAACTGCAACCCCCAAGAATAGGGAACAGTGAAACCACAGAAGTTACCATCAGAAGGGGAAGTGACCACCATCTGTAAGGCCTCTGTCAAATCAGATTTCACATTCCAAGATTGGAAACCTGCCATTTGGTAGTGGTTTAATTCGATTTCTCTGCAGAAAGCATTTAATCCACTGTACCTGGGGAACGAGGCTTTCTTGAACTTTGCCCTGAAAATAAATTCATAACAGATTTTTTAGCAAATGTTTTGAAGAAAATCATGGTTTATGTTTCTTTATTCTGTGATTTTAGGATTAATGAAAAATAATAGATAATGAGAGTGTCTCTAAGAGGTTAATATTTGAGGATTAATCCTCATTAGGCAAAATCATTAACTACTTGATGGTTAATGTTCCCTTTAGTTCATATTTATTTTGTGGTTCATCTCTAATTTTATCCCCCGAAATAACATTTTTTACAATTAGAATTATGTAAATCTTTCCACAAATGATTAGATTAAGGGAGTACATGTCAAAGCGTTTGGGTTTTGTTCATGTATAGTTTTACAAATGTATTTTTCTTAGCTTTTTCAGACTTCAACAGTGTGGAAAATTCATTTGGCAATTTATTAGAAAGGTCTCTAGTGACTTTTGGAATATTTCTTAATTATCCCTTCTTTGAGTGGTGATGTTGACATCCTTGAATCCAGATAGAATTTGATCCTGTAGAATAAAAGAACAAACTTGTTTATATTTTTTAAAAAGGCAGTCTGTCTGATTCTCTGATCTCTCAGAGATATTTGCTTCAAGTTCTAGAACAAATGACTTGGAAAAGAGGGTTTTTTTCCTTTCTTTTTTCTAGGTAGTTAATGGTTCTTGCAGTCATTATTGAGCCAAAGCTTCTAGGCCATCATAAGACAATGAATGTATTAACCTTGGGCAGTGGATGTGCGTCTGGCAGACTTAGAACCTGGGCAGGACATGCCTGATTTCACATTTACCCAACTGTGGGCAGCCAGGTGGCCATATTCTGTGTGAATAGTGTGGAGCCTAAATAGCTGTCATTAATCACATAGACTTACTTGTGTGAGAAAGTTGAGTGAAGCCTGCCTGCCCTTATTGGATAGCACAGTGTTAATATTGATTTTCTTGGGCCATCAACATGCTCTTCAGTAGGGAGAATGGCTAATTGTTTAGGAAAACTTTAAGGCCATTTTCAAGGTGACTGATCTGAGAAATGGTTTAGAAGTTGGAAAATGAGATGACCAGGCAATGTGCTGAGTAGATTACCCACAGTGCTCCAAACAAAGAGGTCTCTGGTCTATTTCCTTTGACGATGACTGTAAACGGGGGCATAGAAACCCTGCTCACATAGCATGTGCACTCACGTGTGGACTCCATGAGTGTGCTTTCACTCATCTGAAGGACCACCCCCTAAGGACTTCTACTGTTCAACAGGGACCTTACTCAAATTTGATCAGTTACAAACCTATTTAGCATAAATGGAAATCTAGTTAATAAAAACAAAGCCCTTAGGCACTGTCTTTACTGAGGAAGCAACACTGTTGCAGTGCACATGAAATGAACCATTGACTAGCCCTTTCTATCATCTCTTACGTTTACAGATTAATTTTTTATTACAGTGTACCTATGGGCTGGGCTTAGTTGACAAAGCATTTTCTAATCAATTGAGGGGCTAAGCTGAGAGTCCCAGAACTCACGTAAAATCCTTGGCATGGTGGTGTGCTTCTCTCATGACAGCACCAGGGAGACAGGGGTCCCTGTCGCTCACCATGAGCTCCAGATTCAGTGATCTTGACCCTGCCTCAAAAGTAAGAGAGAATTGAGGACATCTGATGTGTTCCCCTGGCCGGCCTCCACACGCACTCGCAGACATGTGCACAGGCATACCACCTCCGTATACACACAGTGTATCTGTTGGTGACACACAGTTTGCTTTCTTTGCCATGTGAGCCGCTAGGGAGCCACGTGAGTGGGAACAAGAAGCAAAAGCTTTTCTGTTGTGGACTTGAAAGATAAACAATTAAAAACCTGGGCAAAGCTAGAGAAGGAGACCCGGACTGTTTGATCAATTATGTGAAATGATTAACATGTGGACAGAGGCCATGTACATTATCCTGTGCATGAGTAGCTCTCCTTTAGTTAAATATTTCCTTTAATAATCTGTAAAGAGACTGAAGTACTGTTAAACTAAGCTGTGGCCTGGCGCTTATTATGCTGAGCTTGTCAGTCCCTTTTAAACTTTTTCCTCCACTGCTGAGGTTCATTTTAAATGTTTTTTTTTCCAGCTCACACTAATTAATAGAGAACAGAGCTAAAAGCTTAAAATGTTTAGTGGAAAGAAAAAAAAAGTAAATCAATTGTTCTCAGTATGGCTCTCTTTTCCCAGTGAGTCTGTCCGGCCACTGGACCACTGTAGACTACAGCCCTCTGTAGCTTGCAGTGGCCCACGAGAGGGAGGTGTCCGTTCTTCCCGAAGCTGCACTGGCTGCTCTTTACTGCTTGGTTGGGCTGCCCTAGGCCAGATAATCTGTCTCTGCCAGGACACAGGCATTAGGAGCTCTTCCTGAGGGTCACGTGATCGGTCCTGGATCCTTACTCTTAAAAGTTACGAGGCAGCTTCTCAGGCTGATCATTCTAGAACAGTTTCTGTGCTTCAGAATGTATGATGGCATTTCACTGGGCACCCAGACTTCTGAGTGTGCCCTGTGATAGGAATCTCAGCTCTGCTGTGTTCTGCTTGGCCACGCCCTCTTCATTCCAGTCCCAGTCAGTTTCTAGTGTACACCTTGTCGGCAAAAGCTTCAGTGACACTTCCTCGGTCAGGGGGATAGACTTGGGGCTGAGTGGGGTGGCAGAGAAGGGGAAATGGAGGACTCAGCCATTAAAACAGAAATCTGAGGTAGAAATGTGTTCCCATTCCATGTGCTGTGGCTCCCCCTGAGACTCGGTGCTGCGTGAAGGGCCTCTTTGCCACACACCCTGTTTGTCCTTGGCACACAGTTGAGGCTCTCTTTGGGGGACAATGGAAGGATAAATCCATGCTTACAACAGTAAATGGCTAAGAAAAGTTTCAATGAGTTGACCTTCCCATAGGGAACTGAGTTTTGACAAGGAAGGAAGGACATAGTAAGCCTCTCCCTTCAACCAAAGATTCCTTCAGGGACGTAGAAGAGAAGGAAAATGATTGTGCTATAAGCTGTTAGGTGAATTTAGTCCTCATAGTGGGTCTCAAAAATAACCTGTGGTTCTTGAGACTCAGGCTCTTTTCCTTCTACTACATACCCATTTATTGGTCACCTTTAGGTCCTACCGTAGCTCAGTAGTTAATACACACAATAATTAATAATCACACACACACATAAGAACGTGAAGCTTAGCTGGTAAATACATTGAGAGTCATTAGTTTGTTGTTTCTACTTGTGTAAATATTTGAAAATTTCTGTAATAAAGTATTAACAATGAGTAAAGTATTTTGACTTTCTTTTTTGGAAAGAGGAGTCTGTTCCCTTCACCTCCTGGGTAAGCCATGAAGATGAACTGGCCAGTTTTTGACAGTCTCCGAAACCACCTTAAGAATGAGATGCCGGTTGGGCATTGTCATGTATGTGCCTGCAAGGCTAGTGGACTGAAGCAGGGGGATGGGAAGTTTGAAGCTAGCTTGGGACAGGTAAGGGGGTGAGAGCCTCAAATCACCCTTAGGCGGTGATTTGAAAAGGCAAAAGTAAGAGGGGAATATTGTAAGATATATTAAGGTGATCTCATAGTGTCTTTGGCTTGGTATAATAAAAGTTTATTTCTCTTCAAAGCTGTAATACAGTTAGCTTTTGCAGTTGTAGAGTAACCCAGGGTCCCTCAGGATAAGGACAGCAGCCTGAGCATAGCCTGAAAGAGAAGTTAATGATTTTAAGCAACTGCCTTTCAAGGTGATGTGTTTCTTCCTCCATATCATTGGGCAGAACTCAGTCACATGGCCCAAAGCTGCAGGGGAGGCTGGGAGTGTGGCCTTTCTGTGGACTCGGGAGAAAAGTCGGAAGGTTTGATGAATGCAGTGTAAGGTGTCAGTCCGTGGAGCCAGAAGGCCCCCTCATTCCCTCTGTTCCCGGAAGGCCTTTCATAGTTTCTTGAAGAGAAGGGACATCTCAGTCATTTTCCTCTTGATGTCTGAGCTTCCTATAAGTGTTGACCACGTCTAGTCACACTGTCTTCATTTGTCTGTTTTTAAAGAAAATTTCTTTTTTTCCTCATCAATGCTAGCCTTGAAAGTTTGCTTTTCAATTTGCTAAGTTTTTCCCAGCCCAATCTCTACCCCCACCTCAGGTTTCCTTCCCAAAAATTCCATTCGCATACAATCAGTGTTGCTGGGAAAGTCTCCTTATCTCAAATGGATTACTCAGTTTCCCCCACCTTGTCCAAATTACATGTTCCGGGTGCATAATACGATGGTGCTCATCATCTTCTAAGCCACGAGGCTATGTAGGGCTTTCCTATCCCACAGGCACTCACCCTTCAGGGATATCTGGTCATTATCGAGGGCAAGGTCACAGATGAATCACCAAGACAGTCACCATTGTGCATAGAAATTTGGGTGTGACGACCACTTCACTAAGACCCTGAAACACAGTGGTTCCCATCTGTTCGTAAAGTAGCATATTTGGTACACACAGTGTGGTCATAAATGCTCTTCTGTTCTCTGAATGCTTGCTTTTGGTCATGAACTGGCACACGTTCAAGGAAAGAATGACAAGGTACCTCTATGGACACTTTTGGTCCATTTCCATGAATGTATTCAAACAAAACTAAATTGCCTGACTCTTTATTATATATCCTTTAGTGTGTTTAAACTTGCAAAATTATCCCTACGGATGACAAATTGTAAACACCATGCAAAACCACAGCCCTGGTTCAAGGCCTATCTCAGGGTTCAGCTGACATTCGCCCTTCTTAGAAATGTTTAAAGTGTTTTAGGAAAATGCAGCTAGGCAAACAAGCTTATCGGCAGCGACAATAAAAAAAATCATTGATTCTAATTAAGAGGCGTCACATATGCAGAAACAACGCGCTTTTGTGTGGTAGAAAGGCTTCCTGCTCTCTCAATGCATGGAGTGCTTTCCAGTGGCTTTATTTAACCTTGCTGACAAAGTTTCAGGCCCTGACCTTTTGGCCCATCTCAAGTGATTCAGCCGTACTTGTCGAAACTTGTCTAAGAGGTTAGTGGGAGGTGTGTTGGATCCAGTTGTTGTAAAAGTGCAACAGCAAGGCAAAGCCCTGTTTCTGAAAGCCAGGAGCTGCATCTAAAATGGAGGTGGGAAGCATTTGTGTTCTTGGGGCAAAGGCCGAGTTTATTGAAGCTGTTTCCTCCCTCTAGCAAGCGTTTCCCACAGCAGCCTAGTATACTGGCTGACCCACTGCTGGTGAGAACTCCAGCTTCTCCGGCTGTCTGGGTCAGCCTGATCCTGTTCCATTGTGTGTTTCTGGAAGGTTGCATTTAGATTAGGACCTTGATTTTGTGCTGTGTCCACAGAATGGGGTCTTTATGACAGAACCAGTCAAGGAAGGCACTGTACAATCTGAGCAAATAATGGAGAAATCACTCTAATTGCTTACTCTATTGAGGTGGTAAATCAAAATCAACAACTGTGCCACCCGCACTTTCCTTGAATTCAGAAGTTAAGAAAAAACGAATTTCTAGACCATGGGGTCAAGAACATAGATCTTGGTGAATCAATGGGCAATTTAGTTCTGAATTAAGAGTACATATTGACCACTTGTAGTGTCAATGATTTATTTTCAAGGAGTTCCATCAAAGGCATTGCTAGTTGCCTGATTGTATATTTCCTCCAAAGATTGCCTTGCTAATTACCATCAGTGAGTAACAGGGATTGCCAAGAAAAAAAAAGCCTATTGTGTCCCAAAGGAATGATGCTGCCAAGTGTCTTGATGGTCTCCTGCTGTACATGTCAAACAGCTGTGCCTACAAGTGAAATTTTGAAGTTGGATTCTTGCTTAGCAGAGATTAGAATAGACGTAATTGAAGGTATCTGTTATGGGGTACAGTTTCAAGCTCTTAAATACAGAATTCATGCATTTCGTAAACAACAAAACATTCTACTGACCATCACTAAACTGCTTTGTTTTGTCTCCTCCTCCACTTGACAAAACGACTATGTTATACAATTCAAAAGCAAAAAAGGAAACAAAAATGAGTATGATACACAATTCAAAAGCAAAAAGAAAACTGCTATCATGTGGAAGAAAACATCTGAGATTACTTGTATAATTGCTTCACTTAACATATTTTAGATATTTAAATATCTGGTTTATGTAATGCAGAGTTGTTCATCTAATTGTAGGTGTGAATGCTCTCTGGGGTCTTAAAAAGTGATTCTTAGATGCAAAGGGAAATAAAGGGTCTTGGCCGATTGCCTCCACTTCACTCCTGTGACTGCTGTCCTGAGCAAGCATCTCTTGCCAGTCCCTTCTTGGCAGGTAGTGGGGTTAGAAGAACTTGCAGAATAGATCCCACCCCAGATTCTCTGTGTTCCATGAACTCACACTAATGGGTGGAGGGAGTGAGCAACTTAGATATCCAAAGGAACGAAATCCCACTTCAGGGGGCGGGGAGTTTGACCTGTGTGCAGTAGATGCATCAAAAGAGTGTTGAGAATGAAGTGAACAAATAACAGAGAAGATGGTGTGAGAGGAACTTTGAGGATTGGATCATTTAGGACCTTGCAGACCCTTGTAAGGATGACTTGGAGTAGGATCTGATTTGTGCTGAAATCCTTGAGTGCTGTGTGAAGAGTAGATTGAGGATATGGAGTAAAGATGGGAGACTAAACTTCCAGGAGTGGGGTCATTGCACTAGCCTTCTGTCTGGTCATCTTA